CTCATCGTCAACTTCCTGCCCCAGCGGCTGACGAACGAGGAGTTTCGCGCGCTTTTTCGCCCCTACGGGGCCTTGTACGAGCGCGCGAGCCACATCATCTACGACTTCCGCCACGTCAAGTCCCCCGGCTACGCCCGCCCGCCCGGCGAGCACGGGCCGGCGCACAACATGCGGAGCAAAGGCTACGGCTTCATCTACTACCGCGACGGCGCCAGCACCGAAGCCGCGCTGAAGGAGCTCAACGGAAAGGAGGTCCTGGGGCGGCGAATTAAGGTTCGCTACGCCGGCCAGCAGCGCCCGGTTGACGACCTGCTCGAGGACAAACCCGCCAAGAACGCCGAGGAGGAGGACTTTAGCTACTACTTCTCCATCCCACACCTCCTCACCATGATGAACACCATCGTCGACCACGACGAGGAGAGCCTGACGGGGGGGCCGCGGCTGGTGGTGGCGCCGCCGCCCGAGGAGACCGGCAACCGAGGCATCGGGGCCCTCACCAGCTTCCCAAAGCTTTTTGAGGAGATGGTAGAATCCTACACGGGCAACACCAGCTCACGTAGCCCCTCCACCCTGCCAGACGAGTGAGCCCGGACTCTTTGTTAAAAAAAAATGGCATGTTCTGACTTCTAATATATGTCCACATGGGCGACATGTTACGTCCATGCTTTATTATGATTATTATGATTGGTGTGCATTGGATAATATTATCTTTATTATATTGGATATATTTGAGAATGCTTTCCTCCCTGAACCTTTTTAATAAAGGGCTATGGTTTATCGTTTATTATTATTTACCTTTGCAGTTGTTGTCTTGATAACTATTACTATTATTATTATTATTATTATTATTGTCGAAATGTATCTCTATCCTTTTGAAATAAATTTTCCTTTTTTTTTATCGTTATTATTTCAGTTCTACATTTTTTCTCTCTATAGTTGGAGCCTCACTTTATGAAGCATTCAGACGAGTGAAAACAATTATTCACAAATGTGTGTGTGTGTATAAAGGATGTCACACACAACACACAGTAAAAACAAAAACACCAGTAAACATAAATTGACTGTGTATGCTGTGTGTATATTTCTTTATTTTTGTTTTATCTTTTTGTATTGCCTTTGACAACCAAAGTGTTATTACTATTGTTTATCGAGTTTATTTATTAATAGTGTTTTTCTACCAAATCTTATATTCATACTTTCTAGAATTTTCATAAGTACAAACTTTTTTTGATCCCTTTTCCTCTTTTTTTTCTCTGTGTACAGCCTAACGAAAGGGAAATGTAAAAAAGAAATGTGATTCAAAATACAGATGAGCAGGTCTGAAACAGCCTCTAAAGATGAAAAACTAATGGATGAATATAAAATGAAAATAGACGCTTTTTGGTTTAGTTGTATTTGATTGTCTCCCTGCTTCATTTTTACCTTTATATTTTTAGGGGACGGGAGGAAGGATTCCTTACATATTTTTTGCGCTGTCTTTACTCAATTTATTTT